AAAAAAAAAAAAAAAAAAAATGGTAAGAGTACCATGAGTGAGCCGATAATGTCTGAAACCCAAGAAGCTCAGAAGCGAGATATGATCACGACAAAGAACTGAAATTTATTACAGTTAAAAGGGAGTCAAATTGAGGCGAGATTTCATCGTAATTTTTGTTCTGCTTTCTCGGTTTGGCGAATTTTTTCTCAAGGGAAAAAGGGTTTTTTTTTTTTTTTTTCGATTAATACAATAAAATAAAAGGGGGAATTTTTGTTTATTTTCATCAGTGTTGAGAAAAGGCCATACGATATACAGTCAGGTGGCACTTCCTATGCATAACAGGTGTTGGAAACTTGAAAAAAAAAAACAATATTATTTATGTTTAGACCAATATTATTTTCATTTATATTTATAATACTCGCTCATATTGTTTTTAATGTCATTTTAATTTTATCAGTCATTGATAACATAAATGAAATCTTTAGTACATATTATCAGTGTTTTTCAACCCGGACCGGCCCGGCGGGTCGACCCGGGACCCGGTCGACCCGGAGCCAGAACCGGTCCGGGTGTGCTAATTAGACCGGATAACAAATGAACCGGTCAAACCCGGTCAAAACCCGGTCAACCCGGCCTTGACCCGGGCGACCCGGGGCATTGACCCGGCCGGGTCAACCCGGTTGACCCGGTCCCTACATATATTTTAAATTTTTTTATTTTTTTTTTATTTTTTTTAAAATAAAACTATGTATATATATTTATATGGTAAATATTTATTATTAAAATAATATTATTATCACTTTAATATACAAATTTTACATACAAAACATTTAATTTTGTTATTTTATGTATATTTATATGACAAAATACTATATATATATAATTTTAAAAATTTTAAAATTAATTATCCGGTTCAGCAATTGACCCGGTGACCCAGCGGTTGAACCGGTGACCCGGTGACCCGGAGACCTTCCCGGGTCAATCACCGGGCCGGGTTTAAAAACTATGCATATTATTCTATTCTAGTTTTGCTACGGAGTCATCGGATGGCTCGGCTTAGTCATCCATAGTTATTCACAAACAGTGTATTGACATGTGTTATACAATTAATACACTTTGAACATGTGTCAAGGCATTAATTGATCGATGGCTATATAAGAAAACCATCCGAGGACTCCAAATAATTTTTGTATTCTATTATTAACTTCATTTAGCTAGCAAATACACTACACCTTTTCATATTCACTCTTAATTTTCATGTTATTAATTTTCATTGAAGAGGTTATTATTGGCAAAAGAAATCTTAATATTGTGTAATTTCTCAAAACGACACATAATTAATAGTAGAGAGTATCATATACTTTCTCAAATAATTAGTCATTGTCTTTCACATTTTAATTATTACTTTTTTAGATCTTTCATACTATATAAAAGGAAAAATAATGTAAAATGATAAATAACTAGAATAAAAAAGTGCAACCAAAAACAGCAATCGATGTACTCGTATTAATATGTTCACTAATTGATGTTACATAATATTACCATACCGTTAAGTTATTCAAATATTATGAGATATTGGAAGGTGGTAATGCCCCACTGTTAGGTGGACAAGAAAATATTACAATATCTTAGAAATGTGGTGATGAGACATAATGAGTAGTGAACTATGTTTATTGAACAATGTTGATATATATATATAATTGTATGCTATTCAATTAATACAAATCAAATAATTGTTTCGCTCAATTATTAAATTAATGTAGAAGAGAATTGTTACAATTTACTTAACTAAATGTAATAATAGATTGATTTATTATATAATAGTAACTATTATTACTAACTAATTATAATTTTACATTAAATTGCAAGTAAAACTTACATACTTATAAAAAACATTATATAAAAAAGTGAGAATGTTTTAAAATCATTCTTATAAAAAGAATGTTTTAAAACCATTCTTATCAAGTCGGAGGCTAGTTCCCGTGGCATCCTTCAATTGCGCTTGCCGCGGCGCTTCGATGTCCATCGAACCGAGCGGCCCTCTTCCCCCATGTTGCTTCTGTTGCCCTATGCAGATTGTGGTTTTTGGTTGGAGCGAGCAGCATGGCGGGGTGATGGGTTGATGGTGGTGCTTTGGGTCAGTGGGGTTAGGGGGTGGTGCTCCGGTTGTTGTTCTAGGGGTGGCCTGGTCGTGTAAGGTGTCTGGTTCGGCGGAGGGTCCAACTAGCCGCTTGTCGGAGTTTTTGGGTTCTTTTCTCGGGATAGGTTTCTTTCTTTTTAGAGGGTCGTCATTTGTGTGACTGTTTTATTGTGGCTGGAAGAGGGTTTTCTTAGTATTTATGGTGTTTTGTGTGTTTTTGTGTTTTTCTTTTGAAGTATTGTTGGTTGTTTTAGTTTTATTCTTCTTTATTGAAGTTGGATTCTCCCCTATGGGAGTGTATAGCTTGTCTGCGCTGTGGGTACGTTAGCGTAGTTCTGATGTCTATTTTAAATAGGCTTCCCTGGAGTCAGCTAGATGACTGTTTGACTCATTTAGTTGATTTCTTGTTGTATTTATGGGTTTTTATCTTTAAATTATATCGTTTGGACAAAAAAAAAGAAAAAAAAAAAAGAAAAAAACTATTGCAAACTTTTCTTTAAGATATAAATTATACAATTAACATTATTTTTTCGTCGTATTAAGTGATTTTTCTCTAATATTAGTTAATCGATTTGAGTGGTATAATCAAATCCCTTAAAATCACATAAACAAGTGCTATAGCAATAATAAAATTAGTTGTCATACTTTTCTAACTAATTAATTGTATGGTCTATCTAAATTATCGAATTTAAAATTTTAAATAATATATATATATATATATATATATATAATATATATAAATTTTTGTACACCTTTGTACATGTGCATAAACTCCAATACTAATATTTTTTAAATGGTGAACAATAGTGTAACATTATTGGATTATGTTAATATTGTCTAAATGTAATCAGATTATTGAAATTTAATACTTTAATTGTTAAAAAAATTAACATTTTGTCAAATTTTCTAATGCTAAACTAATATTTCAATTGCCCATGTATACAACTCGGCTCAGCTTGTTAACGGCCTAGTAATCAAACTCGATTCTTGATGAGTTTACATGCAAACAAAAAAAATTAAACAAATTAATTTTTTTTAGCCTTATCAAGTGAAATTGAGCTTGGCTCGTCAACTAAACAAGTGGTAAATGCATTCAAGCAAAGCCGAGTTACTCGTTTCATTTAACAACTCTACCACTGCGATATAGGAATGTGCTTGATATAATTTCCGTGATTTAGAAACCAAATTTTACTCAATTAGCCTACCATACAAGGCCTTCTTTTTCCTTTGTTTTTCAACATCGTATCCTTGTTTGAAATTTTGCCAATTCGAGATTTCTTAAAACATCGATTTTTTTTTTTTCCCAAAAAATAAAAAAGACAATATTGAAAATAATGAAGTCTAAAAAGAGACAAAATAAAAGGGACCCCACAAACACATGTTCATTCAGTAAGACTGAGAGTATATATATACAGCAATATAAATAAATAGAGGGGCCAAATCATTAAATCAGACAAACAATCAACCTTGAACAAGCTTACCATCAAAATGTCAAATCAGCTTTATACTGTCCAAAGGAATGAAATCCCAACATGATTTTTTTGGCCTTATCTTCAAGATTCACACATAGTACTGATCACAATTTTCATTACAATTGTTCAGACTTCAGAGAAAATACAGCATAAAAAATTACAAAGTCACATCCACATTAAAGATTCAGAAACACTTGCACAGTTGCAAATCTTAAAACATAAATATGTTGCAAGTCATATGAACAATAAAACATAACATAAGCACACAGTATTAGGGAGAAGTGCCATTAGTGTCTGGAATTCATTCTCAATACATCCATTCTGCCTAAAAACTTGATATAATTACTAAATATTATGCAATAACGGCCTTATTATGAAATCTGGTCAAGGCATTGTAGCTAACCGGTTTTGAAGGGAGTGTATTTCAAATTGCATCGTTTGCAGATTGGCATTCTTCTCGTGTATAAGCTTTTGAAGGCTTTCTTTCAGGCAAGTGTTGCGGACACCATCGAGCGCCTCCTGGAGAAAATGTTGCCTTCTCTCAAACCATTGAGCCTCGCCTGCCATACTCGCAGTCTCTACCAATGAAGATGATGAGCAAAATGTGAATTAGTACTCAGAAGACTTTTGCATTTAGGGGCCAAAAAAAAAACACTGAAACATGCATTATTACATCACTCAACGTCACATAAAGAGTCTTTACCTTGAGCCCCTCCTCCTCCAGTAGCCTCTATATTTGCAGCCTTTGACTTTTTCTTATATTTCTTTTTTTCGGGAGTTGGCATCATCGAACTTTTGACCTCGAGCGGCACGTAAGGACAGCCTTCCAACTGCATCGTAAGATCACCGCCTCCCAAATGAGCCCTCATTGGTGCAATCCCACCACGCCTCGACACAAATCCACAATACTTGCATTTAGTGGCCTGTCTCGACTCGTCTAGAGGTACAGCGTGCTCCCACGTATCATCTAGCGGCCTTCCCCGCTTATAAGATTTGGCTGAAGGAACTTTCTCTAGAGGATTCAGCAATGTAACTTGTTAAAAGTTTAAACAATACAACCGATCGGTTTTTTAAAGTATGACACGATTATATACAATATAAATATACAAAATTGCAAGAATGTTTGCGAACACCTTAAGAAGGTTACTAAGAGGTATTTGTGATTTTGAGAAGATAACCAGAGGAGAGTTAAGAAAATCAAGTAAAAGGGTAAAAGAAGTCATTTTTTACGTTCTACGAGAATTTCTTACTGTGTATATGAATGAAGGCTTACCATTTGACCTCCTTGTCCAAGTGGCTGTAGCGTACTTGACCCATTCGTTGAACCATTCCTCCATCACTGTTTTGATTTCCAGCGAGACACGAGGGCAACCCTGCAGCTGCATCTCGGCAGAACCTCCGGCCAAGTGGGCTTTTAGTCGTGAAATTCCGCCGTACATTGAGACAAAACCACAATAGTTGCACTGTGTTTTTTGTCTAGCTTCGTCCAATGCCTTCGCGTGTTGCCAAGCATTATCCAACGGCCTTCCCCTCTTATCAGATTGCTCACCATCTGCTAACATCAAATTTGGCAAAGCATTGATTGTGAAAGATAATTGAACTTTTTTCGCCTTTTGAATAGACTAAACTTCAAGAACGGTATGTGTGATTGTCCTTAACTTCATTTATGTATATTATAAGAAGAAAAAATATAACTTCCATCAAATAGGAAAACACCGCTGCCAGATAAACAAGAGGCTTACATTGAATTACTTTTTCCAGAGTTGCAAACACATACAAATAAAATACAAAAAGAGAAAAAAGCAATGCAAGTTCAAAAAGTGGCACAATACCTTGAGACTCTTTGACCTTAGACGATGATGAAGGACTTTTTGACCAACCAGACATGAGTCCTTTTGTTTCAGGTGATATAGAGGCCTTTATATTTTTTACTTTTACAGTTGGGACTCCTTTTTTTCCAGATGACACTTTAGGCCCAGCTTCCCCATTTGCATTTTGGTTATTTCCACCCGGAACCTTATGAGAGATTTCACCACGTGAAAAGTCAAAGCTAAAACAACCATTCAAGTCTCTCTTTTGATCTTCCCAGACAGCTTCATGCGGGTTCTCAGTTTCATCATGCACACCAATCTCAGCTGATGCCCATCACCAACAAATTCGCATACAGCAGTCAACGAAAGTCAAAACAGAGCATATTAGAAAAACAGATCAAACCTTGTGTCTTATAGCAAAAAGAGTCGCTCTGCATTTAAAATTGAAGTTTAGCGAACATAGAACAAGTCTTTGTGAGCTGCTTTCCTTGTTACAACTGAGTTCTTTTGATATAATTTGAAGTTGAAGTTTTTTTTTCCTTCAATGAGATTTTCAAACTAACATGAGCGGTTTAAAATTAAATAAAAAAAATAATAATAATAACACTGCTTGTTTAAAACAGCATAAGCACCCAATGCCTTCAAACTTAAAAGCAAACCCGAGTGCCATGACCTCAAGTGGTGCCACAAAATATGCACCACAGTAAAAACATATATTATGTTCAAGTTTAACGCAGTACCTCTAATTTCCTTCGTCCAAAGAGCTTTAGTTGTGTATACCCAATCATTGAACCAGTCGCCCATGACATGTTTCACCTCAGGGGGGACCCGCTCACAACCTGGCAAGCGGATTTTTGGGTGTCCTCCCCCGAGATGTGCCTTAAGTCGAGAAATCCCACCATGTGAGGAAAGAAAACCGCAATATTTGCACTCTGCTTTCTGTCTTAATGGGTCTAGCGGATTTGCATGCTGCCAAGCCTCGTCTAGACGCCTTCCCCTTCTATCAACTTTTGAATCTTGTGTTACTGTTCCCCGGATGAAAAAAACAGAACGCATGAAAAACAATGAAAAGAAAATACCCATCAAAAATCGATGTCATAATATATCTCTGGTAGTCTAGTAGAAACAGGTCAAAATTACATGCTTCAAATAAGGGATAATAAATACGAGCTAGATCATCATATGCTTCAAAGTTTGCAAATTTCTGGTAATGTATCTTACAAGATATTGAATAAGAGCAATATATGGTGTGTGCGAGTATATTCTGGAATCTCCATTCTAAGAAAACAATTATACAATATAACCACAAACTTTGATGATGATAATTACAGTTACATTGTTACTAGGACTTACAAGGACTCTGCTCCCTCGAAATGGTTACTGGATTCTCTTTCCCATCAAAGCTTCTCTGGCCACATGAATTTGCAGACAGGCTCAGCCTCACAATAGGGGTCTGAATGTGCAACTGATGCTCCGATTGAGAAGCACCAACACGTTGTCCCTTGAAAACACCCCACAAATAATGTTTGCCTTGGAATCCTGCAAATTTATGAGAATAAAAAAGTGGTAATAAATTGCCCCCCCCAAAAAAAGTGTAAAATTGCTCAAAAGTACAAAACTAATTTGGACTCACGGTGGAGCTTCTCGGGAAGTTGGATAGAAGCAAAGATTAGGAGCTCAGCTTTCCCAATAGTTGCTTTAAGGGCATAGTCACCGCACATTGCATATGTAAGCAGATTACTGAAAACTCCGTCATCTCTGAACACATTTATGAGTAAACATTATATAAAGGAAAAGAAAAGAGAAATGTTCGTTACGGGATAACATGATTAATCTAGTTTCTTACCCCCGCTCTGGGAAGAAAAAGAGGGCAACACTATGTTCGTTAGGTGGTGAGCTCTTAAAGGACGCTGGCCAAATATCAATGCGCGGGACAATTTCCAAACATAATGAGTCAGGCATTATACTAGCCACCTCCAAGCATGCACTGTTCGAGACATGAGCAACTATATTGAGACTTACGTTCTGCCTCGGTATATTAAACCTCCCCCTGCTCAGAAGATTTAAGAAACAAGAAAAAAAAAAAGGTTGTTATCCATGCTAATTGTACAAAACCCTGTTTTCAATAAAGGCTACAGGCAC